TTCTTAGAAACAAAAGTGAAAATGAAACTTTAATTTTACAAGTGTATGACGTCATAATGCATCTATAGGTAGCTCGCTGAATAGAGTGTGTACAGAGATGTACACAGTAGGATCAAAAGGTAAGTCCAACCTATATTTGCACACGACCCTAATTTTTTGCACACGGTCCTTACAGATGATGCAACAGGTATAAAAACGCAGGTAAAACGTATTGATTCTTGTTATAATTTGTCTTGTGTGTGTTATTTGTTATTGTTTTCAGTAAAAAAAAATCCAGGTTGTTATTGTTTTCAGTAAAACCAGTTCAAATCGGTTAGGCTGGCTAGATCAGGCTGTCTAGACTGTGAATGAAAAAAGTGTGACGTCATAATCACATTGTATTTATACAGTGGATGACGTCACAATGCATAGGTAAGTCCAACCTATTTTTTGCACACGACCCTAATTTTTTTTTGCACACGGTCCTTACAGTATAGTGTAAAACACTATATTTAGAGCTATATACTGAATCCCCACCTTAGTCCCCAATAGGGTTAAGGGGGTTAAGGGGTTAAGGGCTAAGGGTTAGGGCTAGGGTTAGGGTTAGGGGCTAGGGTTAGGGTTAAGGTTAAGGGGATTAGGGGATAGGGTTAGAGGGGTTAGAGGGTTAGGATTGCACTCAATTGACCCCCTTATCCTCCCAACCAATCAAAATCCACCATTTTTGACCTCATTTGCATAAAAAGTGCACTCAGTTGACCCAGCCATCCAGCCTGCTTCAGGCTAGGACATTAATGGATAGACCACTTCCGCTTCCGCTACCCCACTTCCGCTTCCGCTAGACCAATTAGGGTCCAGCCAGACCACTTCCGCTTCCGGCTAGACCACTTCCGGCCACTTCCGGTTAGGCCACTTCCGGTTAAACCAATTCCGGTTATGACGTCATTTCCGCCCCGGCAAGACGCCTTATACTACTAATGTGATTCCTCTTTTCAAAAAGGATGACCCCTCTGTGGTTTCCAACTACAGACCAGTATCGCTACTATCCTGTGTAAGCAAAATTATTTAGAGAATTATTTTTAAACACGTGTACAATTATTTCCATATCAATGATTTATTTTATCGATACTAAGCAGAATTTCTACCTGGTCATTCAACTGTATATCAATTATTGTAAATCACTATTTATTCGCGAGAACTTTATTTTCGCGTAATTACGCGAGACAATATGCTCGCGAAAATTTCATTCTCGCGTTTAATAGTTTTCCTTAAGATTAAATAGATCAATGACCACGATTCGTGAAAATTTTGTCTCGCATATAAAGAGTCAATGACTATCTCGCGAAAATAAGGTTTCGCGGAAATTAAGTGATCTACAGTACTAGAAACATATCGTAATATTTACATTCGCAAATATCTTTCTTGATGAACCTATTGAAGAGAAAATACGTTCAATTCTGTGTGAATTTCATTTGGAGGTCAGAGGTCATAGCGCGACTGGATCACAGAGCGATGTGATATTTTGACCAAACAACTTCTAGGTTATTGCGCGTCACTACATAGCAATACGTTGGCCCATTCTTGTAATAAATACAATTTAAGTCGAAATGTATTCGTTTCAAATGTAAATATAAGTAATAAACAACAATGTTAAAAAGTTCAGCGGGAAATGAACTTTAAGTTGGTACGTGATCAAATCTACTGAGAAGCCCTTCGGGCTTCACAGGATTTGATCACGTGACCAACTAAAAGTTCATTTCCCAGAGAACTTTTTAACATTGTTGTTTATTTCTTAAAAGTATACACGCTATAACTTGCGCCAGTTAAAATACGATTGGAAATTGATATCATTTGTTTATCAATAAAAGTCACGAAAATACTGTAAATTACACCTTTAAAATTAAATGCGTTACAAAGTTATCAAATTATAATTATTTATTATCCTGCAAGGAAAGAAAAATAGCTATTTTTAAATAAATCCATCACGTGACGACGTGGCGAAAAGAAAACAAGGTAGGCCGTTTGAGATACTACTCACTTTTGACGTGGATGGCAAGCGTCTTACTCTTAATGGTACTTATCTTTTAATGTATTCAGTATCAACCATCTTCTCTGTTATGACGCATATTGACCTTATATTAATAATTGTTGTCAAAATGCAGCATACCTCGTTGTCTGTGATTTCCCGTGGACATGTGTTTCTATATATAGGCCTACTGTTTACGCACTTCCTTCATCAATATTCATGAAAAGACTGAATTCTTAATTCCTAGATATGTTTAATTGTTTTGTTATTACAACGACATCTATAGTACAATTTTGTGGAAAGTATTATTTTTCATTACACTTTATGTGTTTTAAATCATTAATCATTTTGTTTTACACAAAATTCGGCGTTCATACAGCGTATATGTCTTTAAGTATTGTTCAAAGCATAGACGAATGTTAATCTTGTTGTATGGTTTTTTTATCTTTCAAAGGCTTTTGATAGAGTTTGGCACAAACGGCTTCTATTTAAATTGCAAACTTATGGTATATCTGGTGATATTCTCCAATGGTTTTCCAGTTATCTAAGTCAAAGGTCTCAAAAAGTTATGTACAAAGATTTGTTATCATCAAAACAAGATATTTTTGCAGATGTACCTCAGGGTTCTGTTTTAGAATTATAACCGGACTTGTATATTTGTATCTAGAGATGCACTTTATTCTAAAACTGAGTGGGAAACTTTAAAAAACAGACGATATATTGCTAAAATGACTACTATGTACAAAATTCATACTGGACGAGCACCGGAATATTTAAAAGATATTGTCCCCAATTAGCGTGAACATGTATCCACATATAATACCCGTAAAAAATTGCCGATAATGCGCTGTACATTCTAAGGAACATACTATCAAATTTTCAGGATATGTTTTCTAGCAAGAATTTTTATGCAGTAAACCCGCAGAAAATATGATACTTGTAAATTGTTTACAGTCATATATTAGGTCTTACAGTCCAGGTGTTTGTATAAATTTGGTTTTAAATTCATTTTACAATTTGTTAGCCAGCAGAACAAGGCGACTACACGAGATTTGAATAAATAATAACCAAAGAATGATGATGATAAAAATCCCAGGAAAATGCATATAATTAATTTATCCCGTTTTTAGTGTTGAAGATTCATTCCTTCCTGAAAATTATAGGCAAACTTTTGCCCCGACTTTGATTGGCAGTCATGATGCAATACGCATGTTTCCCTGAGTTTTTTCAAATAACATGCGCACATACAACCCCTCAAGTTTTCCGCTAAGCAATTTCATTTATGATAACTTTCTTTCTGCATATCATAATCTTTACGCAGACTTCTTCTGAATGACTTTTAACAGTTTAGTAACACTCAATATAAATTATTCCTTTCATTTAGTATTGTATTTAATAAGTCCTTAGACAAAACACATAATCATATCAGGATTCAGACTGGAATTTAATTATAAAACTTGTAGAATGTTTACGTACAATAGCATGCACTTTGTATTATAATCTACTTGATTTGTACGGACTTGAAGTCATTTGCAGATAATTAAACGGGAAACAACGCAACGTTGCCTTTGTGACGTGACTGACGTCATAATGAAATGTGCACAAAACAACCGCTCTGTTCTACTCAGCTTTCTCAGATTTATACCAATGTCAATTACCTAGTTCAATCCATTTCAATAAGCAGGGCTTATATACAGACTTAGTATCAGAATTCAAAATCTAATTCGGCTTAGTAAAATTAGGTTGCAATAGCTTAATTAAAAAGCCAGTTGATCCCAGCCTCCCACAAGCACATTTTTTTTGCACAGTACTCGTATATATAGGCAGTGAAACTATCCTATGCAAATTTATCTAAAAGTTGAGAATTATCACACACACACCCCTCCCTGAGGATGGAATTTTCGAATTTAGAATACTAAGTATTCTCCTTTCTGTGGTTGTCAAACATTTCTTCAGGTAAGTTGTACAGCCCCACAACCCGCAAATTTTCAAAATCGATGTGCCTATTCAGTACATATTTTATATATCAAATAACTGGAAACATTAAACTTTTAGTACTTTTAATATTTCTTTTCTTCAATATCCAACAAAACGCAAAAAAGGAGAGAAAAAAAAAACCTAAAACAAAACAAAAAATAAAACAAACAAACAAACAAACAAACAATTTTTTTTCTTCATTTTTCTTTTTTCATTTTTCTTTTTCTTTTCTTTTTTTTTTATCTTTGAGAGACAGCTTTTATTTATTGTCATTGAACTTGGTTTCTAAATTTTCCACTGTATTTAAATTAAATTTTAAACCATTCAGAAAACGAATTTCAAAATTCTTCGATTTAAATTTTTCATAGTTATCAGAGGCCTATACATTTTCAGATAATTTGTTACTAGTATAAATTTATATTTTTTAATTTTTTTTAACCGCTCCCTTAGAAAAGTCCGCCTTTAAATGTCTGAAGTCCGAAGTCCGCTGTTCTCTTTACGCTATTTCGCAAATGTCCAATAGGAAGATTAGAAGTTATGTACTGTGTTAACTAGATACTGTACATAGCCTTACCTGACATAATAATATTATTAGGAAAACTACAGGTCATCTACCGAAATTCATTGCTGTATAACTTATAGCTTATACATGTATTTTATAATATTGCAGTCAATATTGTTTCCCTGTATCTTTCCTCATATCAGATGATTAAACCTTTGATTAAAATTGACTTTCTGTTTGTTGTTTTACACTAGTACTCTAAATATTAAATTTTTTTTTATATTTTTACTTTACGGTTGCAATGCTCTACATCTTGTTGTGGGGAAAACATAGAAAACAGGTTTTGATAGTTGTGAACTCAGATGATGAATTAAGGCCTTAGTTGAGCGTATGTTTTATCTTCCTGCTGTTAAATCACGATACATGTAGACTATTAATTCAACCATTTTATCATGTACATGTAAAAAATAGAATGGTTGCGATTATAATTCCTTTTCAGCGAAGTTTGCATTGAAAGGCTCTTTGGTTTTGTATCAAAAGCGTGCAGGTTTACATTAAAAGATGCAAAAGATTGGCTTGAATCAGGTAATGAAATTTACAAACAGTATAGTAAATGCACATTCAAGATAAATCCAAAAATTCTAATGTTTAAAATAATAAACAGATTTATAACTACCACGTAAGTCATAGTTATAAAAATAAAAGTCAATTCGTAATGATCAGTTTCTTTTGAAATATTCGAAGTCGAGAATTTGAACGATAGCATTAAAGAGACATAGACACCGTTTCGGCAAAAACAATTGTAAATTTATTTTTCCATTTTTACAAATATTGAACAAATGTCTTTCTAATGATCATCGATGGGAGATTGGAGGTCAACAATACTGCTACATCGCCAATAATTTCAACTCATTACCGCTACATTTTTTCAAAATTTCAACCGATCATTACCGCTACATTTTTTGGCCCAAAACAACTCATTACCGCTACATATCGAATCAGCCAGGTATGGTACGGAATATGAGTTCCAATCACGGATTACTTTACAAGACAACAGAATGTCAAGAAAATGGCATTCAAAGCTTTAGCGATTGTGTAAAGACATTGTAAAGACTGTGAGTTATCTATGAACAGTGCTTGATTTTAAAATTTCTAAAGTGTTTTATGAAATAAAATAGATTTTAAATTAAAAAAAAACCCACTCTGCTCAAAATTCTACTTTCACCTCCTAGGTGAGCAGGGGAAACAGGACTTATCCTTGTAGCAGTAAGGATTATGTAACGGTAATGAAAATTTCAGAAATGTAGGGGTAATGATACGCACCCATTTGAATTTCAGGTGTCTGGATACAAGACTGATTTAGAGCTCCAAGCTTTTATAATGTAAACAGGTCCGAGTCATGTTTTTGTTAACATAGGTTAATATACTAATATATGTTCGTTCAAGGTAGTTATTTTCCATAAAAAGTTAATTCTATATACAATAAACATTTTCTATTAATTTGCTCCATTTAATTTTTATACATATGATATTTTCTTTATGTAATCAAAACAAGACACAAGCCTTTTTTTTACATAATGAAAAAACTTAAAGTTCTGTATCTCATTTGTTAATCAACAAATGATGTTCAAGTTTTTGCTGATTATTAGATGATGCCTTAGTAGGAATTATAAACATTAAAACTGGTTTTAAAAATTAAAAATTTAGTTGAAACTGTGTCCATGTCCCTTTCTAAAAGTGCAACTTCAATCGCTGAACTTTTAATGCTTAAAACTTGTAACTTAAGATATACATACATATAATGGATAAACCATACAGTTGACACCATGATACAATTAACGTCAATTTTAGAATTAAGAATGTCAGCAATTATGTAATCTGTTCTATGACATATTTCATATTCGAGTTCTTTAATGTTCTCTTTTTTCTGTACCAGCTGATTGCCCTAAAGAATGCCATGTAATAATCAGCAACTTAAGCGGTACTAAATGGTTTTCTTACGGAACGTTCTACACAGCCGTCTATGAACTGAGATCAATAGATCTTTGTTTCAATGGTTTGAGTGAGAGTTTGAAGACAATCAACATAAGCTGCGAACGTTCATTTGCAGATAGTAGAAGTATGACAGTTATTTGCAAATCAGGGTTTGAAAATGGTAAGTCAGAATATACTGCTATATTTTAAGAAATTATAAATATATCTTATTGCTAAGTCATGATATTCGTACTTTAGGGAGACGTGAGCCAAAATTGTTCAGGATGAAAAGAAATGGGCTGTGTTGACGTCTTCAAATAAATTCACCTTTTCAAATAAAATGTATGTGTCGCTTTAAACCATATGACATTTTGATAAAAGAAAAAAAAATATTAAGGCCCCTCTGTTTTCAGAAGTAATGATAAATATGTATTTGTTTAACTGGAACTTAACTTAAATACCTAATTGTGAAGTTGTAGCATACAAACTTAATCATTTACTTTACATGCAGTTATCGGGAATTCGATGAATGTGATGACATGATCGTTTTTAAACTCTTGTTTTCATAATTTTTATATACTATTGGATTTTTGCGAGGAGCGCTAACTTTAACAATTGACAGCTTTATTTTACACTAGGACAATGTACGGCAGCTCTTTTATGATATAAATATTTTGATCAACATTTAATTGAAAAAAAAAGGTTAAATTTAAAGCACAACTAAGTTACCCTTGAAGAAAACGACAACAATCCTACCCTCAGCTCCCAGCCCTCACATGTTAGAGACTCTAACACTATACCTATGACTAGGAGAAAGATTTTCTTATCTTTTATTAATTCTGTACCTCCGCACATGATAGAAGAAAACCGTTAACTGTAAAAGTCAGTGCTTCTCGCAAAAGTTCATTACTATCCCTTTGGTTCAAAATTTTACCAAACTTTAATTTATACCAATTAAATCTCTCTGATGCTTCCACATTTATACGATTCATCCTGGCTTTGCTGTTCTTAAAAATGATAAAAAATGGCTCTAATCTCTAATATGTAAAGATTATGGTGAAAGAAGCTGTATCTATAGCTTTTAAACCATGAACGTATATTTGTCTTTTTATCTCCTTTTAACATTTTACATGTGTACAACGAATTTTATGCATTGTAATTACGTTAATTTGTAAATCATATGTTGTCCATTCCTGCAATAAAAAGAAAAAAAGAAAAAAAAATGTCAATGAAAGTTTATTTTAACGCAAATTTTGCATGGGCTTATCAAGACGTCGCACACGGAAATGGGGCTGATTTTGTGACGTCAAAAAATCTGTTATTGCCGTTGCTGCGTACGTTGGTTTTTTTGCTTTTGTTTTCCTAAAAATGTTTTACTTTTTATTTTACAGTTTCTTTAATATTTTTTTATATACATGCACATCTTCGAAATGAGATTTTATTGTAACAGGTTTTTCCATAAAAAAGAGAATACAGCTTACATTATTGATATAGGTCCTGTTAAATACCATAATACGCATATTTGTGTTGTAGTAACAAAACCTACCAGACATCAAAAATCAGTCTCTCCTTTTACTTGCTTTTAAGTTGTGTTAAAGGAATATTTTACTGCTTCTTGATTTGCACATTTCATTTATCACTTTATTAATAATTTTACCAAAAGAACCTGTTATGCAATGAAAAATCTTTACAAAACATCATAAGTTTTCTAGTTACTTGTCATAATCATGACATGTCACGGAATGCTTTCAATTTTACGAACAGTCAGAATCGGTCAATATATTGGAAATTTATTAATGAATTTAATTTGACATCATCACGGGGCGTTATAGAAGATAAGTATAAAGTGGCAGAAAACTCCATGCAGCCAAAACGATAAAAATGATTAAAAAAACCCAAGTAACGCCCGTCGTTTGTAGTGTTACAAGCTACGCAATTTAAAACCCCTATACCATTCCTGACGTCTTAGTGCAGTCATCCTTTGAGCAATTTACATACGTATTCCATAAAAATTGTTGAAAGGGGAGCATTTTGAAATTATTTTACACAGAAATTATATTAAAGCATTCGTGGCAGCATCAAATTCATCAAATAAAAAAAAAACGGTAAAAATAATTTTATGACTTCGGGTCTCTCATTATTTTCTATTTTCAGCAAAAGATTTGTGCACATCAACTAAAAAGTGTGAAGATGAAACTAAGACGTGCTTGTTGAAAGGACAGATCGGTGTTTGTGTATGCAATCCTGGGTATATAGGATTTAAAAACGAATGTTTAGAAGGTAAAAAACATGTCCAATTATTTCAATTTGAAAAATAAGCAAATTTTTTACTACTCTATCAGTGAAACTTTTTTTTGCACAAAAAATTAAAGAATTTAGACATATTGACAAGGAGGGTTCTCCATAAGTTGTTTTGCTGTGCCTGGCCCGACACAGTAACGATATTTTTTTTTAGTGCAACACAGAAAATGAGCAAAATAAAGTATTTTTATTATTCTGTTTTCTCTTTTATTTTTAATACAAAAAACACGATCAAATGATAAGAATCAGAGCAAATAAAGAGTTTGGTAAGGTACATTGTTAACAAAGTAGTTAGGTTAATTTATATATTAATGACTATTCAGAATTTCCTCTGCTCTTCAATGAATGTGTAAAGTATAATAGGATTTAAAGAAGCTCTAAACACTAACAGAAACTGTTTTTTTGGACTCGGAGAAAAATATATCGTATTACTATATGCATATTGAAACTTTTTCATTCATTTAGATTATAGGGTATGTGTCTTATATTTTGAGCAGAAATACTAGTAACTGTTGTTTACTTACATTGGAAAAAATAATGAAAATAATTAATTACATTTTTCCCTCTTGGTCTTATATAATGCTAAAAATATTTCATTATATTAAAAATCATCAATTAACTGTAAATAACAATTTCTTTAGTCAGACATCTAAGGGAAGACCACTCTTACTGCATAAAACTACCCTATAAATAGAGCTCTTTAGTGTGCGGTGTTTAAAGCGTCCTTAACAATTACTTGATATCGCGATTACTTAACTTAACGGAACTCTTTCGCGATGGAGGTAGGAAACGTCTGTTGGATGGGGACAAATGTGCTATTGAATACAATGCAAGATCGATCATTGTAGAATTTATAAGGACAGATAAGTAAAAAAAAATCCTCGTGAAATACCTTACGAAACAATCAATGAACCAGCCTACTTAATTTTTGAGTTGAGCCAATCCTATAATGTTACATTTTTATGATATTTTTATCTAAGCTGGCTCTTCTCATTAAATTTTTATTGAAATCGTCACATTTTAAAGCTGATAAAATATTCTAAACTTTCCTTATTTGTCAATGTACAATTTGGAGTTCAATTCTTGGCAATGCATTGTACGTTCGGCATAAAATTGTGCGAATTATTCGATTGTCACTACTGTAAACAATGTCATGTGCCCCAGTAATCTCGCGAGATTTCGAGCTTTCCCACTCCCCCGCAAAAGAGCGGTAGTAAGTTAGATAACTGCAAGGTAATCGCGAAATTACGTTTTGCAACTTAATTAAAACTAAAATAAATTTTCCTTATATAAATTTCTTTAAAAGTAATATGTGTGTTGGGAGGGGGGTTTGTATTATTATAGTGTGTTTACATTCTATAATTCAAACATTCTTGTGACTGGGAGGCCCGGGTTCGATTCTCATTTGCGTCATACCTAAGACGTAAACAAAAGTAGTGACTGTTCCTTCTAGCTCGGCACTAGAAGTGAAAGTCACGGGTCTTTCGGATATGTCCCGTGTCACGGTAGGCGTTGGCACGATAAAGAACCCTCACTGCTCAATGGCCCTTAGTGCAGAGTATAGGTCTAAATTTGAAGTCCTTCACCGGCAAAAGGTGACGTCTCCATATGAGTGAAAAATTCTCGAGTTGGACATTCTTATTGCTTTAAAAATTCATCATTTTAGCATAATCAGAGCAAAGATTGTTCATCAAGCTTATTTGATTGAAGCGAAAACCGCGAATATTTTTGCATAGTGCAAGTTTAAATTTTTAAACGCTACACAGGGTAAAGAAACATTCGTATTTTTGCAAGTTATTACAACATATTCATTTTCTTTCTTATCAGGAAATTTGACACTGAATGGAACCTGCAAACGAAATGAGCAGTGTTCTATGGTATTTGGCTCAGTTTGTCAGAATAACACATGTGTTTGTGGACTTGGGTATAAATCATTGAATGATTCAAAATGTTTGTGTAAGTCCATTTGTATAAATCAAATTTAATTAAAAAGTTTTGCATATTGAATGAATGATTGCCAATGAGTAACAAAAAAATTTTGAAATTATCATTTTTCAAATTTCATTATAATGAATTTTAAACATGGCTTGGTTGTATTCGGAAAAAATAGCAAACTAATCTTACTTGCAAACATATTTTCGTGTGTAAGTGAAAAGTAGAAACAACTAGCATTCTATATTTGTAGACGATAAGGGATCTAAAAATTGTTATATCCTCATCTAAACTTCTTTTCTTTTACCGTTTTCTCACCAGTAACATTTTCTACAAATATATAATTGCTTACAGTGCACTCTGAAAATAGTGATTTTGAAGCACGTGCCATAGACATGAGAGGTATGGGAATTTTCAATATTTTAATTTAGTATTAATACATTCCGTCGTCTGGGGATTGATCTCTCAAAATCCTCAAACAATACAGATATTTGAACTAGACATAAAACACGGACCCCTAAAAAGTCAAAAGATAGGAAAAGGGGGATAGAAAGAGTAAAACCCCAATCATATTTCAAAAAACAATTAATGGTCGACGGGTTTTAAGGCAAAAATAGCATTCTTCGTGTGACAGTCGGCAGTTCATCGGTCGTTTTCCTGTCCAATTTTTCGTCGCCCACCAAGTGGCATTTTTTGTTTGCCGGGCTTTGTTATATTTTTTTTCTGCGTCAGTGGTCGATTCCTCTAATTGCAGCGATCGTCAAAAAGTCTGTCGACCAACCTTCGATCATCGTCCGACCATCGGCAGACAGTTTTTAGACGGTGGCTAGACTGGATTATGAATAAACAATAGCGTAAACACACGGGGACCCTAGCTGAGATTTTTTTGCAGAGTCAAAATAATGAAAGTAGGATTGTTTTAATGTTTCATGTTTGAAAATAAAATGTACACAGTTAACAAATACATTCAAGTTATTTCAAAGACATTTCCTTGATGAACACATGCAAAGCCTCATTACTGATATTTGCTGTTATCAATATTTCTTGCCTCATGAATATTCATTGAATTACGCCGAACTACAACTAACTCATACACCAACCAACTCGTATATACGTATGCAAACTACAAAAGGCAAATCGTACACCTTTTTATTTTTCGTTTTTTCTCACACGTGCGAAAAATCAGTTCGTACACACTATGTGTTAGTTTAAAATTGCAATAATATTTAGAATATTTGATGAAAAATATTTTTAGATATTTTTATCACTTTCTAGCTCCGAAATCAAACAATGATAATTTCTAAACAACACACGCGCGGCTGTTTCTTAAATACTATTTTGTTGACTTTTTATACATTAAAACTTAAATAGTTTATTGTATTTTTACTGTCTTTTGATTGACTGAATTTCTATTGCCTGTTTACAATACTACATTAGAAAAAGAAATACAAGTATTTTAGGAAAGAAGAAAAAAGATCACATCTTAATCAGTTAATAAAAGGGTTGTTGGTGGTACCATAGTATATACGATGCCATAAAATTGGCTGAGTTTATTACCATTCTATTTTTCAAAGATAAGACATTGCCTGATTATCTCGGACACTAAAACGACAAGTATTAGAATTTTCATGCGATTTAAGTGGGCTGAATTTAGGTCAGTCTTCGCGTGCGTTCACAAAGCTATCATGTATTGTGCAATGACTTGCAGGGTCATTGCATATAATATAATTACGTATGAAAAATAGTACCATCGCAAATCACGGCCAAAATGTACGATCCTCTCCCATTCTGGAGAGAGCTACATATATATACAGGCTCCGACCGTGACTTAAGACGACAGAAAAATAAAGGCAGAAAAATATTTTGTTATTCTGTTTTCTTTTCTCTCTTTTTTTTCGAGCAGTATACGAGGGCTGTCCGTTAAAGTCGTTGACAAAGCGTTTTTTCTCGAAAAATAATGAGCGCGGTAAGATGAAATTTTTAGCAAGTATGTATTTATCATATTTTAGTGTAAGTATTTGAATTCTTTTGATAAAATATAGGCAAAAGTCAATACTTTTTAACATGCTTTAACTCTTTACAAATTACTGAACTGTGACGAAACAAACACTAAATGTACACGTCATAGAAATATAGAATTACCTTTTCCCCACAAGCACTTTTTAGAGCGGTACAATTTTCTCTAAAATTAAGCAAAAAAAATGATAATGGTAGATTTGAATTAAATCATAACTTTTCTTATTTTACTAGATTTTAGCATATAAAAAATTGAATGGAATTGGCACTTTATTAAAGATTAAATTTGCTTCTGAAAGTGCGTGAAAAATGAGTGATTGCGGGGAAACGGTATAAGCATGATTTTGTGTTACATGTTGAAATAGGAAATGGTATATGCGTTGAAATGTGTGACTGCGGGGAAGGGGGTTAATGTACATTCACACGATATAAAACCTGTTTTTTTTTTAAATAATACACGAGTATTATTTCCAAATAAGTATTCAATAGATTTTGGCAGTTTACCAGTGGGAAAGCGGTAAGCACAACGCAAAAAATGCTGACGTTCGATGACCTTACTAGGCACTGGAAAGGAGTTCATTTTTATTTCATCTTAAGTATACAATGGAAATGGGAGTTGTTTTCTTTAAACGAAATCGTTTTTTAATCAAATCCAGGGGTAGAACAAGCATCTATTCCTATAGCTTTCAATGTTGACAGCCAATATATAAGGTAGCCTATTTAGCTGAATGATAGTAAAAATATTGTCCATAACTTTAATACTAGATATGAATAAATCTTCAAAAGGTCCCATTTGTGCGCGAGATTGGTAACTGACTTTTATTTGAAGAATTAAAGGAAACTCAACTATGTGCATCAATGAAATTTCTTAATTTAAGTGGAAGTTATCCAACTTGTTTTTAACAAAGAGGAAACGTGACGCTGCTTTAAAAATTTTTACTTTAGGCCCTATCACCCGTGTGTCGTGTCGTATAAAATCTTATAATTTGTTTATTTATGCATATATCTATTTGAAGTTTGCTATGCTTTTTGATGAAAAATTAGAAAAAAAAATTAGATCACAGTGAGAATTCATGACACTTCACTTTTAGTACAAAAATATAAATTTATATATTAAATACATGTACATGTGTTATTAAAAATTGAAATAAAATTTCATAATTACCATATCATTTTATAAATTCTTACAACATTCATCTTATTAAATGCCAGTCGCCATTTGACGTAGCGGGTTTGCTCTGGAGTCAAGGAGTCCATCCTTACGTCGCGGATTCAACTCCCACTACTGGACATAGAAATCGGCCCTTAATTCAGGTTGAGATCTCGTGTCACAGTAATTGCTGGCCAGAAAAATATCCCTCGCTGCTCAAAATTTTATTCTCGAAAGGGACGTGAAACAAACAAAATCATTCATGCCACCGTCTTTCAGTACTCATAGTTCTTTGATTATAGTCGGTCGTTGGTCGATCGACATTTAGGAATTGGGTTTTCGTAAATGTCGGCCGACGGTGTATCATGAAAAATTGAAATAAACTTTTATAATTTCCATACCATTTTATAAATTCTTACAACATTCATCTTATTAAATGCCAGTTGCCATTTGACGTAGCGGGTTTGCTCTGAAGTCACGGAGTCTGGAGTCAAGGAGTCCATCCTTACGTCGCGGATTCAACTCCCACTACTGGACATAGATATCGGCCCTTTATTTAGATTGAGCTCCCGTGTCACAGTAATTGCTGGCCAGAAAAATATCCCTCGCTGCTCATTTTTATTCTCGAAAGGGACGTTAAACAAACAAAATCATTCATGCCACCGTCTTTGAGTACTCATAATTCTTTGATTATAGTCGGTCGTTGGTTGGTCGACATTTAGGAATTGGGTTTTCGTAAATGTCGGCCGACGGTGAAATTCAAAATGCAGCTTAGCAAACAATGAAGAGGCGACTGTTGGCCAACTTAGAATTATCTAATTTTTGAAAATTATCGGTGTTCGTAGTCATTAATGTGATTTCTTCAAAACTACTGTTGGGCGATTCTGTTTTTACAGCCGACGATGCAAGAAAAAAAATTGGTGGCGGAGCATCGGCTTGAGTGTGACTTAGACAAAAGTTTGAAGTTTTAATAGTTCTATATGCATTTCTTTTGGATCAACCTTCCTAAAAGTTAAATTTATTAATAATAACCAGAGGATGTTTCACATCTGGTTCTAGTTAGGTTGTAAAGAACCAATTATTTTTTTTTTGTAATTAATATATGTTATCCTTGCAGAAGATACCGTAGTCGGTTTGATGGTTGGAGCTGTTATTGGTGGCCTTATCTTAGGCAATATCCTTACTGTTCTAGGAGTTATCATCTACAAAAATATGAGAAACGGGAAACATAAGGCTGGAAAAGAGTATAAAGCCTTGCAATGTTTTTGTTTTTCGTTGTTTAATTTATACAGATTAATTTGTTTCTGTGTGTTGGCTTTATTCTTGAAATGTTTTACTGATGTTCGAAATCGAATTACAATTTTCATTATTTTAATTAGAGAAGAGCAGATGGCTGCAGTTTTTGAAAACACTTCTTATGAAACTGAAAGAGAAGCAGATCAGAATCGTTTTACCGAGCAACGAACAAATGAGGTGAGAAATTTACAAAATATTGAATAGATTTAATTCGCTACATAACAATGTAGTAAAAATAATTTTCCTTCTGCTATTGGACGAAAAAAAATATTTATAAAAATATCAATCTATTCTTAAATATTTACATTTAGTGTAATTTTCTTTATGAAATTCATTTGAAATCCATGACGTTCAAATCTCTATAACACACGCGAATCTTTGTCACCGCGCGTTAGAATACACAGTAGGAACTATATGCATTTTCAATACTTTATGAATACATGAATACCAAACTGTACATTGTTTGACACAATCTAATAAAACAAAAAATAACACAACGTAAAAATACAATAAATGTGCATTTGAAATTAATTTGTCACATTTTTCCTCGCAATGTTTGTTTGCGTTATTTAACTCTACGACGTCACAAACGTCACAAACCGCTCTTTCGTCTATAAAGCACACCAGTTTTGAAGGGCGCTAAATTCACATTCAAGATTACTGTAATCCAACTTTTATTCGCGACGACTTTATTTCGTGATTTACCGAGAGGAAAGGAGTTCGCGACGATTAATTTTCGCCACCAAGCCTTTTTTGGAACTGTTTTTAATTGAAAAAGAGACTATAAGGACCCGTTCACGGCGAGAAATATTTGCGATGATGAAGCTCTCGCGAACCTCACGAAAATTTCTCGCACACGGATAAAAGTTGGTTTACAGTATCAAAATAAACAATTATGAAGAGGTAAAATTAAAGAATTTAAATATAAGTATTAAAGTCATATTTTGGGATGTCTTCGATCCTATAGCACACCTGGTTAACGCACGGTATTCAATTTGTCGGCACGGCCAGGTGTGTTATAGGACCGAAGACATCCCAAAATATGAATTCAATGCTTTAATAAATTGAAGTTCATGCAAATAAGCCTTACATTTTATCTTAAGAAACTAGTACTTGCTTCAGCCGGAATGGGCCCACCTTTTAAAAATAATCTGTTAAATTCATCCTTGGGTTGCAAGATTCTTAACTCATTTACTTAATTTTGATTTTTTTAAAAATTCATGACAATTTCTAAATTTGACACACTTTAGATTGCGATCGAATCACCTTTAAACTTCTATAGTTGCATGTTCTCGCACATACAAAGAAAAGGCGTTTTTAGATAGTCTCGTTTTTGGTAGTTTTGTATTGTATCATACCTTTTTTGATATATAAGAATTCATTTTTGATTCTTTTTAAAATAAATAATAAAGAAAAAAGGTTTTAACAAGATTATATAGAGACGATCAAGACAGTTTTGCTTGGTTCCGTCGTTAAACGTAGCTTAATTCATCAGATCATATTACATTAAATAAAACAAACACACCTCATTTAACATTTTTGTTTTCCAGAGATTGTAAATGTGCCACCGTTTGCTCATTCTACGGATTCACCAGTAACGAAAAACACGCGCACCCATCATGGAAACAAAAGTTCGATGACGAAATGTTATGACGTAAATGATGACGTGTACAATCATCTGCATGAAAAGGAAGAGGATTCCAAAAATGATTAAACTTACGACCACGCCCATGAAAACATTAATCGTACAATGGAAGAGAGTGACTTCAGTTATCTAAATACAGAGAGACGATATATATGGCACCAGGTGTTTCTGCTACTGAAGATAATGATAATGATGAACGCGATTGTGCAAAAACACTGTTTTGATTAGTCTGAGTCATGCATTCTTTATGAAACTGTTTGTAGCCTTTCATTGACTAACTTTAGAGACCTTATGCAAGCATAAAACATAGATTTTGAGAGCTTTAATTGATCTGTGTATTAGTGTAGGAAGTAAAAATATTTTTGGTGGAATACAGGAATCATTAGGCATGTTAGGAAAAACTTTCTCAATTTAACATTTTTTCGTAGTTTTGGATAATCTTTGAGTCACAAAGTACATGGAGTAATCATTTGACGAGTTCATTTTATGGTATGATTTTCATTTCTTCCAATTTGATAATGCTAAACCGATTTGTTTGCTGTACATACACCATTTATTTTTTATAATTAAGTGATGCCTTTTCAATCTCTTTTCAAATCATCTTTAAGAAGTAAGGTGTTCGTAAGTCCATGTGGCCAAGAAAATCACACAGACACTAGTACGCTTAGTTCTCATCAACATAATATATATAATTATAACATAACATATATTTTTAGTAAGATGTTTTGCCAATATTTTCTATTTACATACAATTAGGTCATCACATAAGATTAAGTTGCATCAGTTTTCTTAACTCAGTACAAATTTGTACAATATATGTTTTACCTTTATGAATAAAAATAACATCACTTGAATTATATACGAAAGCTATCTTCGCCTTGACTTTATGGGTATCTCGTGTTATAATGTCCTCCAGATAGGCTTGACTTACATATATCAGTAATTATATAAAATGATCAATCTGACCTAAGAATCATAAAACAGGTTTAAACTTGAGTCAAATGTTAAATCGTTGTCTAAAAAATGTTAAAGAGTATTTAAATTGTAGAACTTGTGTACTCCTTATTATCTACAACATTTTGTATAACAGGAAGATTAAATTTTGTTCTTAGGCTGAAGGTGTTTCACAATTCTGGGGACCAGCTGAGACCATTATTATCTACATGTTACATGTTTACGAATTGCAGAAATATTCCATCATATCAACCGAGTGTTGATGATATATCTATTATTGATTTATTGTATGTTGTTTAAAGTCCCTCGTGAGAATATTATACTCATATGGAAACACAAAAACTTGCCGGTGCAGAGGTGCAGATTTTGTCATATACTCGACACTTTCGTTGAGCAGTGAGGGGTCTATTTCGTGCCAGCACCTAATGCGAAATGGGACTTCAGTTTATACGGTATCATCCAAAGGTCCGGTCACCACATCCTACAATGGAATAAGAACCTGCGACCTATAAGGATAAATAATTATTAATTGCCGTATACACGCAATATGTATTTTATATGCATTTTATGAAAAACAAAAACAAATTTAAATTGCATAATTTGAAAAAAATATATTTTACACATGGTAAAACCTTTTAGGATTATCTGTTTTTATTTTGCATTTCATGTTTTATAACTGCGGTATTTAATTTACCTCATAGTGCGGATAAAATATTTTAGTAATAGAAGAGGGTTTTTTGTAAATTTTGCCATCTAAGTATTTCAAGTAAAGTTGTTTTTTGATATGAATTTTTAAACATAGGATTTCTTTTAAATCTTCAAATTCTATTCAATAATACTTTACACTACATCTTATTGTCAAAGGATGTACATGTACCATTGGTATTCCTCTATCTGAAAGCATGAATATTTCTTATGATACAAGAATTCAAATACATATTTTATTTGAAGTTAAAATTCTGTTCAGAAATCTTTATATAAACCATCGTAGTTTTCAATAATTTTAAACTCTAAAAGACCAGTTAAACATTTTTTCTATTCTTTAACATTCGATTGAATACACTTTCTATGGCCACGAAGGTCTTTGCAGTTCTGATTGCTTCAAGAGCTTATAATTAACACTCTCGAATTCTAAAATAATACATCGTGGATTAATATCACAAAAAGTTTAACAAGAAGAAACAAATCGTTTTTATTGATATGCAAACTTTAAAAAGCGTTTGCTTTAAGCGTGACATATAGATTTACTAATGGAGTGTATGATGTTTATCTGCATTCAGAGCTCCTCGGGTTGGTCGTACCTGGCACATAAACCTCGGAAGTAAAGGATGTTCTACCAGATTGCTATTACAGTCATGTGACTTTATGTAAAATTCTTCCAAATATAATACCTTTGAAATCGGATTTACCTTGTGGCACGCCTAACATTTTGTTTTTGCTCTCAAAGTCTACTAACATAAGTTTGTAATCGAAACCAATTTACAAGAAAGGAGTTGACAAGTTAAAAAAAACTTTTTGAAGAACTTTTCAATGACCAAAATTTGAAATGTTTTACAAGGCAGTCTCTGATGGAGAGTGTATCTGTTGCATGTTACAATAAATCCATGGATGGTTTTTCCTTAGACTTTTCATATGAATTATTTTAAAACTTTCAAAGGGACAGCGGTAAAGTTTTACGAGAAAGTAATGAGGACGTAATAAGTACATGTATTTATTTAAAATCTTTTTTATTACGTATCTTTCTGATATATAGTTATCATTATCATAATTTATAAGAATAAAAAAATGTTTTACCATTTATTTCGTGTGCGCTTTCGTCGTTTATTCTTTTTGATAGGATCCCCTGCATTGCAATTACAGGTAAGGCTTTAAATTTTTATACTGGACACAAGGATCCCGGGCACCCACAAAATATAATGATCATAGTAAAGCATAATGGGACAGCGATAGTATAAAATACAGACATGTTAGTGTTATAATGAAACATAAGAACATCAAGACTGATTTGTCATTCGATTTAAATGAGCATGAGATTGGTGTAAATGCCCTATATATGTACTAAAAGCAATGTGGGCTGCAACTTTGATGTCGGAATTTTTTGTTGCAAAATCTTAAATATCTATTTCAATGACAGAAAAAAATAACATTCATAAAACTCTGCTTATCATATTTGCGATGGAAAATAAGAAATCATTATTGTACAGGACGACAACAATATAAATATGATTCAATCGAAGCTTATGGATAGAAGTCTTTCTCCTGATTAATTTTAGTCTAATTGATCATAAAGGTTTAAATTAATACAAATTTATCATAATAACACATTTTAACAGCAATATAAAATTTTCAAAAATGCAACTTAGATCTGGAATCCTTCTTAATGTAAAATCCTGTCGAATTAAAATAGTGTACTTGACATGATACTTGCTTGGTACATGTAACAAAGCTTTATCCCGCTTCAGACAAATTTGTAGATTGCTGATTGGATAAAGGCTGATCACATGACGCCCTGAAATTTTCCGTATTACGTTTCCGTCGAGGCGTAATATGAAAATCGGGCACGTGATTCCGTTCGAAGTGTTGTTATTGTAAATAAAAATGGCGG